AGAACCTGAACACAGTAAGAATTGGCCCATGTAAAGAGGTCAGATGAGCCTCAGAAACACGAAACACCTGGAGACAGGAAAATCCTCACTGGCATTGTCTGTCCCGGTGCCCAGCAGGGGATGGAGAATTTCTGGTCTTCATTCCCACTGTGATCTGCTGCCCTAGAGCAGATGGGGCACATGCTATCTCTTTAGTGGCGGAACATAGTATACAAACCCCTTGAGTGGGAGAAGAAAACTTGAGGATAAGTTGAGAAGAGAACTCAAGAGTTGAGAGTGAGGGTCTATCACGCAGAGCCACAAGGGGTTGCCCCTAAAAGTCAAGGACACTGTGAGCTGGAGTCATGGAGTCAGCTTATCTCTACCCTGTAGTTGGAGTTCCTGAGGTTTCCTGGGTTCCCTGTGGATTAGCTAATTTGCATGATTTTCTGGGCTCCAGGGCTGTCCTGGTTGTCTAGCACCTGGCTTCAGGGCAAGTAGAGCTGAGGTTTCTGCTCTGTACATACTGGCCTAGGAAAATAATACTCCAATAAAGGAAGTGGTTGGGGTGGTTTGGGGGAGTTGATTAACAGTCTGTTGTTTAAGAAGGAAAATTAATCAACCTGCGGCCAAGTTTAAAACTGTGTTTAGACATAATTTTTTAAATAAACATTATATATATGTATATATATATAAATATATATATATATAGAGAGAGAGAGAGTGATTTTTATCTTGCATTCTTCCTTTGATTCCCACCTAGAGTTTATTACTGGCAAAGATTCTCAGTGAGTGTGGACTCCGGGAAATAATGCTGAGATTGTTGTGTTATATCCAGCAAGGTATGATGATGGTACAAATCCCACAAGCCATAGATTTGCTGCTGATCCAGATGTTAGAGAATTGTCTGGCATTCAGGTGCTGCCCTTAGCAAGAATCTGCCTATAACAACAAAAAAGAGGCATTAGAACTGACTGGTCCAGTTAGCTGAGTCCCATTGGGAGGAAGATGATTAGAGTGTTTAACTAATATCAGCAGAAATTGACCCATTTTTTCCCTCCTGACCCTTCTTTTTGATGACTGTGCTGTTTTCCTATCTCTAAAGACAATTTGCAGTTATATATATTTATTATATAACTATATATATTAAATGGTTATTATTGTACATATCTTGATTACGTGTTTTATTATATATTTTATATTTTTTATTATTCATCTTATTCACTAGGCAATTAACTTTAATGAAGACTTTACTTACACAGATAGAACTTGTGTCCAGAAGAGTGGGTCTTTCAGTTGGCATTCTGGACTGTTTGTTGCATGAGTGGCAAATAGAAAAAAAGGTGGGGGGAATGAGGGATGATGTAACATCCTTACTCACCAAGCAACTTTCTGACAGAGCATTTTTATAGGGGAAAGCAGAGTCCCCAACAGTGTCAGATGCACATCTGGTATTGCTCATAAAATTATAGTTGTGTTCCTGTGAGCACCTTCTTCTAATTGTGGCTTAGTCACATGGGTCCTACACTCAGGAACTGTACAGTTTCTGCACCCAGGATGAAGTGAGTCTCTAAACTCTAAAAATAGAAGTTGGATTCTAGTGGCAGCATCTCTTTTTCATCCTTAGGAAAAGGTGCTTCCCCCAATCCTCAGCTTTATTCCCTACTTAGGATTTCTTCCAAACCATCAGCAAAGTCATTGTAGTTGAGAATAACACATGGCTTCTTGGGTTATTAGGTTAAATAAAATCTGCTGGAGCTAAAAGGATTTTTCTACATCGACTTTCATTCTTGCTGCTTAATTAAATCCCTCACCTGGGAAAAGAGTAATTTTTTTTCAGCCATTTCACTTTCTGTGGCATCAGCATGAAGCTGTGACTCCTGAAATACCAAAATGCCAGTTGTGTTTATTGCTTCAGGTGCAATATGTCTGTTATATTTGGAATCCCCTACGAAGATAGATATTAACTGAGAATTGAAAATGACGGCAGAGGAGATTGAATCAGAATAGCAAGATGAACACAAAAATCTACTTCTCCTCATGCTCAATCCCTAATAGTGTCAGGGAAAAAATGTATTTTTTAAAGAATGCCTCATAAAACTACTGAAAAATAAGAAATAATGCTATCAGAGAACAAAAATCTTGGTAATTTCCTGGCAGGCTACAACAAATGATTGGATTGAGAAGAATGAATAAGACCAGTGATCAAAGAACGTCAAGAAAAGAAAAACAAAACAAACTTCATAAGTTGGTAGACATTCAAAGAGACACTAGGCACACAGCAAGTTCATTGAAGAATTTAAGAATATCTCTGGTGACTTGATTACATTTGTAGCCCAAATTAGTCATCCTTCCCTTGGTCATGAGGTTAAACAATTCCTCTCACCCAATTCCCTATATATGGACAAGTTTTGTGACTTGTTTTGTCCAATAAAATAAGTGGGGTGATAATTGGTTCCTTTTGATACTATGCAAAATGAAGAGACCATGTATGTTTTACATTTCCATTTGCTTCTTTTGAAACTTCTGCCATTTCTATAAATGTCTAACTACCACCCTAAAATAGGAGAAACATGGAATAGTGCAGAAGTCATCCCAAACATCCCAGTCAGCAGTCAGGCATCTGAGTGATATCTTTAAGGTTTTGATTTTGACACATTACTGTGGCAATTCTAAATGATACAGACTCTCAAATATGTTTGTAATAATACCACCTTATTGCTTTTGAGCACTAAGCAGCAATGGTGTTTGAGCCTAAATTAAACTAATACCTATACTCTAAAGAAAAGGAACCTGTACTTCAAGAGGGATCCACAGTAGTCTGAGAAAGAAAACAATTGTGCTCAGATAACTGTTCATACCTGCTAGAGGGCAGAAGCAAAAGGAAAAGGCAGCTTTACTTAGGAGATAAATTAGCTTAATTTCTCCCTCACCAAGGTTTAGAATGTCCTCTTCTCCCGGTTGTTGGTGGTTGTGCTACAGTACCCACTCTTGCTAGACCATATAATTACAAGCATCCCAAAATCATATGTATCAATTCATATACTGTGCCTTTTAAAGAGTGCCTGAAATGCCCTGCCACAGAGGCAGGGTGGGATGGGGGGGATGGGGGTGGGAGGGATACTGGGATCCGTGGTGGTGGGAAATGGGCACTGGTGGAGGGATGGGTATTTGATCATTGTATAATTGAAACCCAAGCACAAAAATTTGTAAGTCTACAACTGTACCTCATGATGTCTCACTAATAAAAATTTTTAAAAAATAAAAAGTGCCTGAAATTAGTCACATTCAGAGAAGAGACCCATTGAGGAAATAGATGAACGTAGTAACAGAAAAACCTACCCAGGTACTAAGGCAATTCTATTTCTGTTTTCAATCATTAATATAATAGCACTGTTTTCCCCTTGTTCGTCGATTTGCTCGAGTGGGCATCAGTAACATCTCCATTGTGAGACTTGTTGTTACTGTTTTTGGCATATCGAATACATCACAAGGAGCTTGCCAGACTGCCATGCGGGTGGGATACTCTCGGTAGCTTGCCGAGCTCTCTGAGAGGGACAGAGGAATTGAACCCAGGTCAGCCACGTGCAATGCCAACACCCTACACGCTGTGCTATCACTCCAACCCATTAATATAATATTTTTTAAAAATAAAAAATATAAAAATTGCAGGGGCTGGAACAATAGTACAGTGGGTAGGGTGTTTGCCTTGCACATGATCAACTCAGGTTCGATTCCCAGCATCCCATATGGTCCCCTGAGAACCGCCAGCAGTACTTCCTGAGTGCAAAGCCAGGAGTAAGCCCTGAGCATCACCCAGTTTGACCCAAAAATTAAAAAAAACTGCAGAAAGAGGGAGGGGAGAATAATAATGATATGAAATAAATAAAATGACTAATTTTGGTCAATGGTAATCAAAAAAATCAAATACATATATACATCAACATATAAATGTAAAGGCATGGACAAGAATCTAAGAAGAAACTTAAGAAACCACAGTGGTCACCTCTTGAGGACTGTGGGGCAGAACATAAAGGGGTCTTGCACCTTGAAGCTTAACCACTTCCAAAGTTTGGAAGTTTTCACAATTAAGGAAGCATGATCATCTCTGAGTACAAAAGTAAAGCTAAAGATTATTTTCTTTAAAACAACACAGACATTACATTTGCTTTCAATATCTAACAAGTACCATAAATGGATAAGACTGGTAAAAATCTTATCTATTTTATTTCTCTTTATTTCATGATTACCCTTGTAAAATTAAGAACTATTACTTCAGAAATGACATCTGCACCTGTATGTTCATTGCAGCATTGTTCACAATAGCCAGAATCTGGGAACAACCCAAGTGCCCAAGAATAGACGACTGATTAAAGAAATTTTGGTACCTCTACACAATGGGATACTATGCGGCTGTTAGGAAAGATGAAGTCATGAAATATGCTTATAAGTGGATGGACATGGAGAGTATTATGCTAAGTGAAATGAGGCAGAAAGAGAGGGACACACATAGAAGGACTGCACTCATTTGTGGAATATAGAATAACATAATGAAACTGACACCCAAGGACAGTAGACACAAGGGCCAGGATTATTGCTCCATAGTTGGAAGTCTCATGAGCTGGGGGAGAAGGCAGCTGGAATAGAGAAGGCATCGCTAAGACAATGATGGTTGGAGGAATCGTTCGAAACGGGAAATGTGTGCTGAAAGTAGATAAAGGACCAAATGTGATAAACTCTCAGTATCTGTACTGCAAACCATAATGCCCAAAAGAGAGAGAATGGGGAAAATTGTCTACCTACATAGCATGGGAAGGGTTGAGAAGGGGTGGGGTATGCTGGGGACACTTATGGTGGAGAATGTGCACTGGTGGAGAGATGGGTGTTTGATCATTATATGACTGAAACACAAACATAAAAGCTTTGTAAAAAAAAACTATTACTTCAAGCTTTAAAATTACATTTTTTTTTAGTTTTTTCTTATCTATTTTTTTACCCAATTTATTCATTCTTCATTTTAGGCCAGGAGACATGATTACTCTTCTAGAAGATTCCAATGAAGACTGGTGGAAAGTAAGTGTTTCTCTTCCTTTTGTTTTCTTTTCTTTTCTTTTTCCTTTTTTCTTTTCAGGGAACCATCCAGGGTGCTGGGTGTTGAACCTAGGTTGACTGCTTACAAGGCAATCTTCCTACCCACTGCACTATCTCCTCAGCCCCTGTCTCTCTTTTTAAAACAAATCATTTGGTACTGGTGGTAAGTGTGGTACTAGAATTATATGCATGGGAAACCACCAATAACTATTGTAAATCACAGATCCTGAATTTTTTAAAAATTAATTCAAAATTTTAAAAATGTTTTAAAAGGCAGGGCTGGAGCGATAGCACAGCGGGTAGGGCGTTCGCCTTACAAGCGGCCAACATGGCCGACCCGAGTTCGATTCCTCCGCCCCTCTCGGAGAGCCCGGCAAGCTACCGAGAGTATTCGATATGCCAGACACAGTAACAACAAAGTCTCCAATGGAGACGTTACTGGGCCCGCTCAAGCAAATCGACGATCAACGGGAGGGCCTTTACCTTTAAAAGGCAAAAACAAATTGGTGACTAAAATAACAATAAATACTACAATTATGAATGTGTACTTCTTTTTCCTTTCAGGGGAAAATCCAAGATAGGATTGGGTTTTTTCCAGCCAACTTTGTCCAGAGAGTACAAGACAATGAGAAGATTTTTAGATGTATTAGAACCTTCATAGGGTGTAAAGAACAGGGACAGATAACACTGAAAGAGAATCAGGTGAGTAAAGCTCACAAACACAAATCAAGAATAATTCAAACACAGTTAAGAGTCTGTTGGATACTTAAACTGCTCCAATATGGGGTCCAGAAAGATGGGCTGAGACTCAATTCAAAAGGCTGAGAGCATGCTTTACATGCAGGAGGCCTGTGTTCAATCTTTGGTACCAAATGCATCCCCGAGCACCACCAGGAGCAACCCAGATTACTGATCCAGAAGTAGCTCCTGAGCACTGCTGGGTGTGCCCCCCATCTCCAACATAAGCAGATGGAAAAAAAAATAATAACAGCACCACCAGTGTGTCAAATGTGCAGACCACCATGACATCGGGGTAGTATCTGGTTCTCATATATTTCCTTGAAGACCACTGGTCTCTGGTACAGGTCACTATTCCAGTTTAGACTCTGTGCTGTTCTCTACCAATGGAGACTAATTTTTCATGGTTTCTAGGGAACGTTTTATCTGCCACAACATTCCACTGTTTATTGCATTTTTCTCTAACACAAAGACCCCTCTGAGTTATCTTTTTTTTTTAATTTTTTATTAGTTAAACCCCATGAGGTACAAAAAATTGTAGACTTACAAATTTTTGTGCTTGGATTTCAGTTATACAATGATCAAGTACCCATCCCTCCACCAGTGCCCTTTTTCCACCACCACGGGACCCAGTATCCCTCCCACCCCCCATCCCCCCACCCCACCCTGCCTCTGTGGCAGGGCATTCCCTTTTGTTCTCTCTCTCCTTTTGGGTGTTGTGGTCTGCAAAAGAGGCATTGAGAGGCAATCATGTTTGGTCTATATCCTTGAAGCAGCTCTTTCACTGAAATCCATGACTTTCACATCATATAAAACATTCAAAACACAGACAACAGGGCACTCAGGCACAACCTGGGTGATTTCCTTTATCTAATCCAGTGTCCTTCTTGCTTCATGTAGAATTTACTGTGGTGCTGTCAGCTTCCTGAAAAGGGATGTGAAAATGTCATGCATCCGTATGTCCTCAAACATCTTCCTTCATACTCTCACATGTCACTCCTGGGATTTGACTGTGACAAAGAGACAAGACATGCACAGCCCCAGGTCTTTGTCCTGCTCTGCCTCTCTGTCTCCTTCACCTGAAAACAGGTTTCCCTCTGCCCCATGTTCTCTGACTACAACTTCTATCCTGTCATGCCCTAGAATACATATCCTGTCTAATAGTAAAGTGTGTTCAGACTTCCACATTTACTCGGGTATGATTTTAAAAATTAGACATTAGAAATCATCCTCTCCTAATATCATCTCAAATGAACATCAATTCCAAGTCTGGGAAGTCAAAAACTTTTTTCTCTCTGCATTCTTGCTATAATAATTTTCTGAAAAATAATCAATGCATCTGGATGATAATGACATTTACTGCATTAAAAAAACACACAAAATGGAACATATATTCATCTTAATACTGATCTTGCTCAATAGAAATACCCAAAACACATATTAAACACATATTTTTGGAATTGTTTTCAAAGATAGCTTCTAAGTCCCGTAAGAATAGCAGTTATTGATTTATAATTATATGTGGAATGTCATTTTTTAAAATTGTTTTCCCAAACTTCATTAGCCATTTTATGTGTCACATGTGGCTCCAAATGACTTAACCATTTTCAAGCTAATAAGTACAGCTTCAAATAATAATGTTTTGCCCTTTTTATGACAATTCAGAAAAATATCTAGATTAAAAATCTAAAGAAAATTATAGTAAAGAGGAATAGATTTCTAAAACATACTAAATCCTCCTTCTGTAATATTCAAGAAAATAAAAGTTTGTGAAAATTATCAAGCAATAATTCTGCCATTTTCCATATATATTTTAGCAAACGTCAGTGATGAGGTCAGTGAAATTTGCATCTACATAAATGCTAGAGTATATTAGCCTACTCATTTTGGATAGTGATTTGATTTGGTATCCTGTGTTTTAGATCCATAACCTTGTTAAAATTCATAAATGTATTCCAGTTTTCATAATATACTCAAGGGAAAAATATAATTTTTTCAAATTGTAGAAAGTTACTGAAAAGTAAAAATTATAATCATCTCTCTAGTATTCATAATGATTAAAATAAGGACAAGTTTCATGACAATGAAGTGAAGTCAGTAATACCTTCTGGAAGTTTTTATGGTACGGTCACGGTCCTCCCGTTGTTCATCGATTTGCTCGAGCGGGCCCAGTAACATCTCCATCATGAGACTTGTTGTTACTGTGTTTAGCATATTGAGTACGTCACGGGTAGCTTGCCAGGCTCTGCTGTGCAGGCGAGATACTCTCAGTAGCTTGCTGGGCTCTCTGAGAGGGGCGGAGGAATATTATCAATGGATACTGGAATTCAGACCCATATCCTACTCACTTCTCCCAAACTCAGGCACAAAGGGAAAAATAAAAATGACTTGGTGCTTCATATTTGTTACTAGAAATATAATGAGCCAGGCATGGTCTATGGGGCCTGAAAGACCTCCTCCATACCCCACTATCACCACCACCACAGAGTTGATCTCAGAGTCCTGCTGGCAACCATAGAGGCCTGCAGGAGGGCTGTGGACTAGAAAAGAATATGAAAATCAGGCCTTGTAGTAAGATGGCCTAATCCCCATCCCAGAGAAATACAGAATAAAAAACCATAGCAGTGACAATTACTCCCTGGCTCATGTGGCCAAGTCAGATCTTTTCTCTGTGGAGAAGTCAAAATAAACCTAGGAGAGAGAAGAAATATAAATTAAATATTAATTGTATTCTGGTAATGAAAAAGTCACATAAGCATCAAGGAAAAAAGAAAAGATTAGATTTGCTTAAGGGCTTTTTTCTTTTCCATTTAAGTCACCTTCAGAGTGTAAAATGTTTGAAGCTAAGTTTAAAAAGAAAATTGAAAATATTTAGTCTTTTCTGTCTAATGATATAAAAGTGCACACTGTTGCTATAATTTTTCTGGGGTTCAATGCTGCACATGTTTATGTGTTGGTATGTGTACACACACACACACACAAACACTTCAGTACCACATCCCTTCTATGTTTAATTACAGTAGCTTCTGCTTATATAAAAGCAAGTGCCCCCAGAAGTATATGCCTTCTAATAATTTTGGATTATTAAAATCCCTAATATCCTTAGGAATTTGGGTCACAAGGTTCTATTGTTTTTCAGTTTTACTTGAAACTGTCATTCTTCCCACTTACAAAAATTGCTTACAAGGTGTACCACACTAAGACAGACTTTACTGGGGCTGGAGTGATAGCACAACAGGTAAAGCATTTGCCTTGCACATGACCAACTGAGGTTCAATCCCCGGCATCTTATATGGTTCCCTGAGCACCAGAAGGAGTAGTAATTTCTGAGTGTAGAACCAGGAGTAACCCCTGAACACCGTCAGGTGTGACCCAAAAAGAAAAAAAAAGACAGGTGGTACTTTGAAAACCACACAACCTAAATAACTTGATTTCACTGTTTAAGATCTTGGAAAATGAAAAGCACACAACTTCTATTTTACTTGGTCCCTTGACTACAAGATACATGTTTAAAGAGATCAAGAACCATTACCTGTGCAGACATAATGTACCTAAGATCTCCTGCTCCTTCATTTCCTACACAAGTTGCTTGTTCTCCTTGGAGCCAGTATTTGCCTACACATTGCTTTCCTGTACGCTCTCCAGAGACTGCAAAAGTCATCATCATCTGATTATACAAAGTGCTGGCATCTGAAAAAAAATGTCCTTAACAACTGTACCTTGGGGAAATCAGTACTCCTGGCACATAGTACACACCACTCTACCTCCACAATATCGAGCAAAACTCTGAAGAGTAAAGCAAAGCTCGGACCTGTGCAAAATAATTGACCTAGTTAGGATCCAGGGCTGGAGAGATAGTACAGTGGGTAGAGCGTTTGCCTTGCACGCAGCCAACATGGATGACTCGAGTTCGATTCCCCCACCCCTCTCGGAGAGCCTGGCAAGCTGCCAAGAGTATCTCACCCGCATGGCAAAGCCTGGCAAGCTACCTGTGACGTATTCAATATGCCAAACACAATAACAAGTCTCACAATGTTAATGGGCCTGCTCGAGCAAATCCATGAACAACGGGAGGACAGTGGCAGTGACAGTTAGGATCCAAGAGAAGACAGGTTTCAGGAAGGAAAGAATCATTTAATAATAGGGACCTTTGAAAACAAACATTTCTCATTCAGCCATCCTACCAATTCATGCCAGGCAATAGAGTCATCCTGCTCACGCACTCTGTTTCTAGTGCCATACACATATCACAGTGAAAGGCTTTACCAGTTGAATTCCATACCAATATTTCAAACTTCTCTAGATTTACCCCACTTCACCCTTCCTGTCCCAAATATTTAGAATGTTAAAAAAATGTTTTTGAATGAACCAAATTTGGGGAAAATGTTCACCATTTGGGACACTGTCTTAAGTAGTTCTGCGAGCACATTTGGTGTTTTTTTTTCTCAGAATAATTGTGTGTTTCCCCATTTGAGATGAAACACTATTTTTGATGTTATTCACATACAAATCAGTAGAACCAGAAGGAAAATTAAGATGTGCTCAAGTTGATCAATTTCCTGAAGCAGAACATCTGCTCAGTGATTTCTAGCAATTGGGATAATTCCTAGGCTTAATCCCAAAATAATGACTTTCCTCGGGATGGGATTCACACTGGCATTCTTCACTCTCATGTTTGAAGTGACAGTGTGTGGGGGTCGGTGTGCACATGAGGCAAGCCATGGAGTGTCTTTAATACAACACGTTTGGATAAAACATAGCATTTCAGCCTGCCCTGGAACCAAAAGTATCTGCTACAGTTTTTTTTTAAGAGTGTGTGATAACTCTTGAATTTGTCTGGCCTGTTGGATTTTTTTGTTCGCTTGTTTGTTTGTTTGTTTGTTTGGAAGGAGATGAGGGTTGGGGCCACACCTCATGGTGCTCAGGAGGCTGCTCCATGAAGTGCTCAGGGTACGAACCTTGTGTATCCAGAGATTGAAGCCAGGTCCCCGTATGCAAAGCATGCACTCCAGCTCTTCGAGCCATCTCTCCAATCCCAACCTGGCATACTCAGGGTGTGGTTTATAGATCACCTGAATGAGAACCACTTTGGATTTTGTTCAAAATGCTTCACCCCAGAACAGCTGAAGCAGAACCTTTCAGAATTAAGACAAGGAATTAGTCACCTGCCAAACTCTCCAGGTGTTACAATCACAGCTGACAACAGATGACTTTCATTACATTCACCCACTTTTAAGTCCTAGAGTTGTTCTGTAACAACTTATGACATTTTTAGTTCCATTACATATGAGTCAAGAGAAAAAGTCACAGAGGTCTCTTTACCCCTACACATTCTCTGCTTTCAAATCTTGTCATCAACATGGCAATCACATTTTGAAAAATGTCAACCCCTTGGGAAAAATTTGCGTTTTAATTTTTTAATTTCCATTTTAAAATCTATTATTGAGACTTTTTTCCCAATTTAGTGTCCTAAATTATCTTATGTGTAAATTTCCAAATCATGCTTGTTTTAAGGGAAATTTAACTTAGTAACTAGAGCACAGGTCTAATTATCTACAGTTGTGGGAGAGTGATCTGTGTGGTTTGGCTTAGTCCTGTTTGAAGGTCAACATATTCATCTATGAAAGCAGCAGAGTAGTTTCTCCTGAATGGGGAAACGAAGATGAAGTGTGGAGCCTGTGCAAAACCTCTAGACCCATACCTGACCATTGTGGATGTATGGCAAGATTATTCTCCTTCTTCTTCATTCCCATTCTGCTTCATCAATCAAAGCAAAGCCTAAGTGTGAAATTCATCTGCAGTGACCAATACCACCTAGAATTACCTAGCAGACATCAGCAGGGTATTTATGACTCTAACAATCCAAAGAGACTAATGGTCATTAGCAGGGAAATAGAAGAAATTTGATTTTGAAAATAAATGCAATGCATCTTTTTGATTAAATAACATTTCTGCCTCTGGGATTGTTTGGTCTCACAATTATCCTATTAGTTTTTCCACAGAGCTTTTGTTTCCAAATAGAATTAGATTTTCCTTTTGTTATGAAGACAACATCAACACAAGACTATGTTTTCTTCATTTTTGAAATTTAAAAAAAAATTATGCTAAATCAACTTTAAGCACCAGAAAAAGTGGGTTTTATTTGGTTTGGGGTTTGGGCTTAGTGGAGGGTTGATTTTTTGGTGTTTGAACAACACCCTGCAGTGCTTAGGGGTTACTCCTGGCTCTGTGCTCAGATATCATTCCTGGTGATGCTTGGGGGACCGTCTGAGATGCTTGGGATCCAGTCCCTGTCAGTCACATGCAAGGCAAATGCCCTTCCTATCACTCTGGCCCCAAGAAAAAGTGTTATTAATTTATTCATGGGCCTCTCATCCCTATAGAACTATTTTCATTGACACCCTATTGCTGGATGACCAGAATATCTACCCTTTATTATTTGATAACTTTAGTGAACATCTTCAAGTTTAACTGTTTCTCCATAATTCTGATTATTTTGGGAGGAGTTTTGGTCCACCTCCTGTGGTTCTTAGTAGCTATTCCTGGCTCTGTGCTCAAGAGTGACCCCTAATGGTGCTCAGGGGATTATATGTGGTGCCAGGAATTGAACTGGAGTTAGATACACATTCTTCCTCATGCAAGGCAAGCTCCTTACCCCAAATACTACCTATCCAGTTCAACTCTGATTAATTTTACAATAGACCTTAGGAAAGAAAATAATATATTTTCCCAGGATTTTTCACACTAACTGCTCTAAAAAGATATAGTCAGTTGATCTATGTTCTAGTCCAGCCCAAACTGAACACTATCTTCTAATGTTTGTTATCTAATAGATGAATAAGATTTCATATTAATCTGCATTTCCTACAAGGTTCAAGATACTGTAATTTGTATTTATTTCATGAATGATATGTACACATATTCCACCCTCAGGTAAACTGGTCAAGATTTAGCAGTACTGAAGGTAAAAATTGCTCAGCCATCAAAAGTGACCTAACTAGAAAGGAAAGGGAGGAAGGGACGGGATAAAAGAATAGAAATAGAGAAAGAAAAAAGCAGAGATTGGAGGTAGAAAGTCACAAGAGAAGAAGGGAGGGACTAGAAGATAGTAGAGAAAGAGGAGGAGAAATGGAGAGAAGGGGAGGAGTCATGCAGGAGAGGAGAGAGGAAAGGGAAAGAGAAGAGAAAGGGAAGGGAAGGAAAGGAGAGTAAGAGGAGAAGGCAGGGGAGAGGAAGGGAAAGATGAAAAGAAGGGAAGTAAGAAGAGAAGAGAGAGGAGGGGAGAGGAGAGTTGTAAGAAGTGGAGGGAAGAAGAGAAGAGAGGAAGAGGGAAGAAAAGAGAAGGAAAAAAGAGAGAGAAAGGAAAAAAGGGAGAGAAAGGATGGAGCGAACAGGAGAGAGAAGAGAGAATGAGGAGAAATTCTTTAAATACATCTTTTTTCCTTCCTTCTTAAAATTTCTTAACACCAGGCTTTGACTGATACTACCAATCATTTTGCCCTTTTTCATGGTGCAGAGGCCTGATTTGGGGGTTTTATTCACCTCTATCAAACCATAATTTAGGTAATTCCAACTGAATTGATCAAGTTGACCCTATTCTGATTTAATAACATTATATAACAGGTATTATTGTTGCTATTATTATCAGTACTAGTATTATTATCTAGTGATTATTTTGGTGATGAACGGTGGCCTCATTTTGTCTGTGAGCTTAGTCAGCTGAGAGACATAGCAGGGTGCAGCTGGACTTGCATTTCTTACAAATTTTCTGCTTCCATCTTGTTTTCTTGCCTCTTCCTCCCACAATACCCTTCTCTTCTCCTTATTGTCACTATTCAAGGAGGACTTTCTTACCCATAGACTGGGTCACCACATACCAGCAACTCTCTGAAAGTGCCTCTTATCATTTCACTCTAGCCAGACCCACCCCTTCCACCATTCAGCATGGAACCCACTCTGGAATAGGGGAGGCATGGGCATCTGCTTGCTTGAGAGTTCCATTTGGCTTTCTGGTAGGATCTGTTTACACTTGCAAGCATCTTTAATATGTTGTCTTAAGGACTCATCTCATGCTACAGACTACTCTCTGTTATAAGCATTATCCCCATCTGTCGACATAGTGACTCTTTGGGAAGAGAAGATATGATGAATGCCATTTACCCTTTTTAAGACCAAATCTCAGAAAGTGTTTATTTCTGGGCCTCCTGTCAATCCCAAACTCTGCCTAATGTTTCAGCAAAACTTTTTCCTCCCTGCAGATTCCCAACTTCCCACCCTGAGAGGGCTCCCATTCACCCTGCCTGTTGGTCCTCTGACTCAAGCTCTGCTCTCGGTACACTTGTCTCATGGTTTCTTTCTTGCCGTGCAGATCTGCGTGACTTCGGAGGAAGAGCAAGATGGCTTCATCAGAGTCCTCAGCGGGAAGAAGAGAGGCCTGGTTCCCCTGGAGGTCTTAGAAAATGTATGACTGCTGGTCCTGCCCTTAGCAGTGGGCACACTCTGTCTGCTGAGGTGCCTCCTCTCATGGTGTCCACCAGGCGCTGCCACACCAACCCAGCCACCCAGGGAATGGCCTGACAAGACTCAGGATCTAAGATTGTCCAGGAAGAGCCATGGAACAGAAAGCTCATGACTCAGCAGGCTGCCCCAGGTGGGGATAAGGCTGAGTCCCCACAGAGCCAAGTGCTGTATCTGGCGGAGGCAACAGGACCACCCCCCCAAATCCCTCCAAGACTCCACTCCTTTCTTACCCACATGTTGTATGCTAACCCGCTGGACAGTGCTGCTGTTTGCAGTGTGGCCCCCATGGGAGGTTCAGATCCATGCCACCAAGTAGGATTCTGGTTCCAGACCTTTGTTCCCACTCCATCAGCATCATCGCATTGGAAACCCTGCCCAGTCTCTCTGCACAGCTCAGAAGGCCATCTGCTCAGCTCCCAAAGGCCAGTTCTCCTATCAAGCCCTCAACCTCTAAAGGAGGTCCCTTCAATCCTCCTACTCAGACCCATATGGTTTGTATTAGAGAGAAGGACTTTGTGGGTGTAACTCTGGAAACAAAGACTTGTCCTGCCCAAAGATTGTTGACAGACAAAGGCCCTTCTGCACCTCTAGTGCCAACTGAGGACTAAGGCATAGATACAAAGGGAAAATTGGAGTTAGATAGGGCAGAGTGAAGATAATTCAGAGCTTTCTGTCATGTAGTCCCTTCCCTAAGGAGGGACCAGGGAAGAGAAAGGGGCAGAAAGTCCCCAAAGGGGACCATGTTCATTTCATATCCTTTGTACTAGGGGCAGCATTTTCTCTTGCACCCCCCTGGAATACAAGGTTAAGCCCACCTGGCAAGGAACCAGGAACATGGACGAGATCAATAACAGCATCTTAAGAGAAATGTAATATGAATCTGTTCTTTAGGGCAGTCTATTACACCCAAGCAGCTGTCAATTGGAAGAATAATCCTTATTGCTTCATCCCTCTGAAAGCAGAGGAACTTGGGGCCAACTTAGCATCCTCTAGGGGAATCTCTGTTACTCTGTACTTGTACTAATGTTTACAAGAATGCAATATACTGTGATGCCTTCCTCCTCAAGACTTCTCCTAGCACTTAAACTTGCATCCTAGTCACCATTAATAGGTTGAACTTCAATCCACAATAACCTTAGAATCAATGTCAGTTCGGTTTGTTTTGTTACAAAGCAATAAAATCATTAGAACAATTGGTTTTTAAAAGACTTAAGTGGATGCATCCTGTGCATGTAAGCATTATTCCCATAACTAAAGCATCATTCATCTCCATTTCTTTCATTTGTGACCACTTAGCATGAAGCTGGGAGCTGAGAGAGGATGGCTAAGGAGGGGAGGGGGGGTATTCACAGTAGCTGGGATGCCTTACTGTCATCTTAAAGCCAGCATCCAGAAGTTCCTCCTTCTCTGATAAAACATGCCCAACTAATGTACAGAGTCAAGATGGATTATTTGAGAGTCAGAACAATATGACTGCCAGTCTGTACAATGAATCAATGGAATGCCAGAGTACAATGTACATTGTCTCTAACTCAATATTCCATTCAATAAAGACAACCCAGTGTCTGAATAAAAGCACAACAGTGAGTGTGTGTGTCTTCCTGTGAAGTATCCACGGAAGATTTTTGGCACAAGAGTGTCACATTATATGCAAATTAACCTGCATTAAAATTTGAAATCAAATCTAAAGTCTAAGACCAACCACCCCAATGTCCTCCAGTGACCCTGCCTCATTATATTCTGGCCCTACCATTTTTCATTCACCTCTCTCTTCCTCCATCTCTCTAGGATCCTGAAAGATAATTTACCCTGGACTAGAAGGTTATAGAATAAGTAGAATCTGTGTCCCCAAGGGTGAAGATCTCAGGAGGCGTTTTATCAAACTCTGAAGGTTTTAGCAAATGCTGGCCAGCAGGGCGTAGGCTGGTATAAATCTGGTAACACAAGAAACTTCAACATTGCCCAAAATAGCATCCCCAGGAAACTGAGTGAGCAGGTGTGCTCTGCAGATTTATTGCAAAATAAAACTCTTACCAAAAACTCGGACAGAAAATTATACCTAATTTACTGCCATCCTATAACAATCTCTTAGGTTTTACTCAGACACCTCACTGTTACGTGTTTTGCACAACACCTGCTGTTTTTGACCCTCAGAACAATTTTTTCTCCTAACCTCCAAATAAAAATTTTATATAGTCTTTGATCTTTCTGTGAGTAATAAAAACTTATAAGCCTACCTTGAAATTTTGGATAACGGCCATTTATTTTGTAGTTCCTCTTTAAAAATGAAAAAGTATAATTTTTAAAATTTATTTTGGCATCAAGCTTAATTATCTACTGAGCATCATCTATCTCTTCACAGAAACTAGGATGTACTGAAGTTCCAAAAAGACACATTGCTATTTCCAAGCAAAATGGTGGGTCAGTGTTGGATTTGCTCCACTTACGATCTCAGGTTATTTGACAGATCTTTCTCTTTCTATGCAAAAATAATTTTCCTGATTCAAACTCCTTTAGACCATTTTCTTGAACCTGTGTGCTTTGTTTGTTTACTTCATTCATGACTGAGGTAAAAAAAAAATCTAAAGTTAAGACTTTTCCTCTGAGTTAAGCTTTGACTGTATTAAAGTTTTCCTGTTTTCATTTCTTTCCAATTACTCTAAAATTACAGTTTTTATACTTTCCTTTTATTTTTTTAAAATTTTTTTGCTACTGTATGTATGATTGAAACTACTTCTTTGTGCTCAGAAAATGTGTTCCATACAGTTTCTTCTTTGACAAATTAGTTGACATTTTATTTATACTCTAGGTTGTGAATAATATTTATAAATGCTCAATGGACATTGGTGGGATAAAATTAAAAGTTATTAGATCTCTGATACCTCGTGCCAGGACTGATCCCTGAGCACAAAGCCAGGAACAAGTCCTGAGCAACCCCTAGCATGACCCAAAAAACAATAAAACACACACACACACACACATACACACACACACACACACACACACACACAAACTTGTATGCTTACCTGACTTCCAGGCTGTGGGGAAGGATGAGGCTTGTGACCTTAAGGACATTAGTTCAGAATAGAGGCTGCAAGCTAGACACCATCCTAGAAGAAAGTCTTTGAACCATCATATAATAAAGTTCACTGAACACCTCTACTGCCACAACTCTAAGATAATATATTTGTATTATTGAAGTCGCCAAATTTGTTATCATTTTTTACAATACCAGTAAAGAAATCCATAGAGTCAGACTTTGGAAGAGGAGAGACGGCATCAGAAATCTAACTGAACTTCCCTAGGTATGTCTCAACAATATTTTCAAGGATAATAAAAGCTTACAGACAGATCAGAAACAAAGAAAACCCAAAAAAATCAAGTAAAAATTAGCCAAAAGGAAAAGGAAAATTCTCAAAACATGTTAGTAGTCTGCCACCAGTGTTGGAAGCTGTTATTTCCTCTCCTGAGGGAGTATAAGAGCTTCTGAGGATTAAAAAGTGAGAAACAATTCCTTGATTGGCATCCAAGGGCCTATTGACCCCGAGGATGGTGATGCTACTGTGTCCTCATTAGGATGCAAACAAAAACAGCTGAATTTATATTGGGGCCTAATAAATATTTAAGCAATGAAATATACGGTGGTTCCATTCATTGCTTTATAGCAATTCCTTACTTGCTTTTCACTCAGAAAGAAAATTCTCATTGCCTACGCTCTGCTAGACATCTCCCATGGGACTTTTCTTCTCACACCTCTCTTTAACTCTTTCTTCTTTCATGGATTCCATCATCACCAGCCCCTGGGACTACAACTCTATCGCTACAGAAATAATGCAGCCTCCTTAGGGAAATGACACTTCTCTTGTGTCTGGCAAATTTCATATTCTCGGGAGATCAATGGCAAAGATAATTTTCCTCCTCCCTATTTCTCCTTCTCCCAGAAAGGAACTGTGGGTTTTGTCTCCATGACCTTTGCATGATAGGAGTTAGCAAGAATGAGGCCAAGAGGAGCCAAGAGCCATGGAGAGACGCTTCTGATCAGTTTCACCCCTGCTCCAATTGCTTTCATATACACTTCATGGTTATATTTCAAGACAGTGGCTGATGACTGCAAAAGTCTGCGGAAAAGCCATGTGTGATCAAGAAAGGTTTGTGGGAAGGAAGGAGATTAGCACATGCCTAGGGTGATTTGGGTAGGTGAAAAAAAAAAAACAAGAAGAACTTTAGGAACATCATGAAATGTGGATGAAAACAGTATTCCGTGTGGGGGTGGCGGTGGAAACAGAACAGGGGTGGGGAGTGCTGGAGCAGAAGGGAAGGCTGTGTGAGAAAACAGAGAGTAAGTGGATCAGAAATGAGGGTGGCAGAGTGGCTCAGACTGAAGCCATATAGGGCAACGGCAGGACCCAGGGCAACACAGCCAACCAGCCTGCTTGGCAGCAGCCTCCTAGCACTCCGTGTTCACAGCTTCTCCTCCATGGCAAAGCCTTTTTTGGTGGTGGCTCTTCAGAGCCATCATCTAACTGGAACCCCCTTCGTAGAACACCACTTCAATCCTGTTACCTTCCTACTCCAAATTTCCCAGCAGCCTCTGCGCGCCCACACCCGTCATGCAGAATGCTGGCTTGAGCTGTGAGGTTCCCAGGGTTAGGGTCACTTAGGCAAGTCACTGTCACTGTCACTGTCCTCCCGTTGTTCATCGATTTGCTCCAGCGGGCCCAGTAACATTGTGAGACTTGTTACTGTGTTTGGCATATCAAACACGCCAGGGGGAGCTTGCCAGGCTTTGCTGTGCGGGCCAGATACTCTCAGTAGCTTGCCAGGCACTCCGAGAGGGTTAGAGGAATCGAACTCAGGTCGGCCATGTTGGCTGCATGCAAGGCAAATGCCCTACCCGCTGTGCTATCACTCCAGCCCACTTAGGCAAGTAGGGGAAAGAATTCCAAGTAGGAAAACAATGGGAATTGTTTGAGTTTCATGATCTTTAATTCTCATATTATGCGTGATTTGAAAATAGATTAAATCTGTCATAAAGTGACAGTAAATTGTGTTCAATTGAGTTAGCATGCAGGTGGAGGAAGTGTAGGCCTTCCACCCAGATTTCTCTGTCAAGGTGTGATGACCAAAGGCAGATGTGAGCCCTCCGCTAAACCATCTTACTGCTGCCTAACAGGTTCAATGCTCAGCAGCCGTGTGGTGTGAACTTACAGTCATTCCATTAATAGCAAATTAGGCTCATCTCAAAGAACTGCTTAAAGAATTAAATAGATCTTAGTGTAGGTTATTATAGATAGTCCTTAGTAAAGCATAACTATAAATGCCATGGAGCTTGTTGGTGGGAATCACCTTCCTGACTTTTACCAATTATAATTGATTGCTTATAATTGATTTTGCGAGCACTTGCTACTTCATTCTGCTTTGTAAGCTAGTGCTTGCTTGTCCGTCTCATTACAAGCAATATAACGAGTGGAACTACTCTTTCTCATCATTTCATTGATATATATATATATATATATATATATATACATATATAGATGTATGTGTGTGTATATATATATGGAAAATTTTGCTGAATCTTTATTTTCATTACACTCAGCATCCAGAATTATTCAGAGAATATTCAGTTACTGTTTTGGGAGAGTCTCCTGCCCCTGCACCTGGCTGTCCTCACCGGGGCCCCTTGGAGGGGAGCGGGTTGAGTTTCCCTCCCCACCCCGACTAGGGCTCCAGCAGCCGAAGACCTCCAGAACCAGCCACCACCATGTTGAGACCATTCTCCACACGCATGAAGGTACTAGCAGAGGAACAAAGGCATGTGGGTCCCGGGGCTGAGATCTCCAAGCCTGCTCAGATGGGGGCTGAGCATCCTCCACCCAGATCCTCCATATTCCACTAGGCAGGGGTCACACCCACCAACTGGCCCCCTGGCGCCATGTAATCCCATCAACGGCCAAGACCCAGAGACTGTCTCATTCTTACTTTGGACAAACTGGCAGGAAACCGAATGTAACCTGCTCATATGGCAGAGTCTGGCAAACTCCCCATGGCATACCCAATATGCCAAATACCAGTAACAATGATGGGTCTCATTCTCCTAACCCTGAAAGAGCCATAAATATGGCACTTTTTAACAAATCTCAGGGCTAGGATGAAGGAGATGTTACTGGGGCCTGCTCGAGGCAATCGACAAACAACAGGATGGTCGTGATCGTGATCGTCACCTTCATACACAAAGAGAAGTCTCCTTTGGAAATAATACATAAGCTCCAAAGAATATTCCCTATCAGATCCTAGTCCTGGTTCCTGCCTGTCCCAGAGGACACATATCCATCCTCCAGGTCACCAATGGACATTGTTTCCTATGTTTTCAATTTGTGTACCATGACCCAAACAACAGGGATTTTACTTTCAGTATCTTCAGTTCATCTTTGTAATATACACTGTTGAAATTTCTGTTTCAGTTCTTCACTGACTACTGGCATGAGTTAAACAGACTGTCCTGTGTCTTCCTTTCACATTGAGTACAAACTCACAGTAATTGTGCTTCTGATTTTACTTTATAAAAATTC